TTGGCCAGGCTGGTCTCAAACTCCTGACCTCAGGTGATCCGTCTGCCTTGGCCTCCCAAAGTGCTGGGATTACAGGCATGAGCCACCGCACCTAGCCTTTTTTTTTTTTTTTTTTTTTTTTTGAGACAGAGTCTCGCTCTTGTTGCCCAGACTGGAGTGCAGTGGCACAATCTTGGCTCACTGCAACCTCTGCCTCCTGGGTTCAAGTGAATCTTCTGTCCCAGCCTCCCAAGTAGCTGGGATTGACAGGCGTGCGCCATCATGCCCAGCTAATTTTTGTGTTTTTAGTAGAGATGTTATTTCGCCAGGTTGACTAGGCTGGTCTCGAACTCCTGACCTCAGGTGATCGCCCACCTCAGCCTCCCAAAGTGCTGGGATTACAGGTATGAGCCACCATGCCCAGCCCTAAAGCTAATATCTTTTGAAAGAAATTCTTTTTATAATATTAAATGTATCTAAATTAGTCAAAAGTATTTATCACTAATGTATTTTAACCCTGTTTTTAAGCTGTTGCATTTGTCTAAAAATGAAATGTAACAGATAAAACTAATTTATTAATTTTGTTAACAGAGTGGGAGGCTAAGCAAAGAACTGGATTTAGTAAGTCACCATGTGAGGACAAAACTTGATGAACTGAAAAGGCAAGAAGTAGGAAGGTTAAGAATGTTAATTAAAGCTAAGTTGGATTCCCTTCAAGGTAAGTACTAAACAAAAGGTAGGAATATATATTTTTTTCTTTTTTCCTTTTGAAACAACGTTTTGCCCTGTTGCTCAGGCTGGAGTGCAGTGGCACAATCACAGTTCACTACAGCCTTGACCACCTGGGCTCAAGTGATGCTCCCATCTCAACCTCCTGAGTAGCTGAGACCACAGATGTGTACCACCATGCCTGGCTAAATTTTTTTGTTAGTTAGAGAGACAGGGTCTCACTATGTTCCCCGAGCTGGTCTTGAACTCCTGGGCTCAAGCGATCTTCCTACCTTGACCAAAGAGCTGGGATTACAGGCATGAGCCAGCGGGCCTGGCTAGAAAATTTTAGTATTTGGTTTTTGAGGTCAGTTTATATTAGTACGTGCCATCTATGTTCTTCTAGTCAAAATTTTGTTAGTATTGATTTGGCTTCTCTTAATTTTTAGAATTTAATGTTTTGAATAGATAATACATTTTATATCATTCAAAAATCAATGTAATTAGCCATAATTATAGCAATGAAAAGGAAGAATGAAAAGTAATGAATTAAACAACTGGTTTAAAGGAGGAAAAATAATATCAAAGGAAACCGAAAGAAAGCAGAGAAAGAAAATCTAATTAGAAGAATTTTCATACATGGAATAGAAAATTTTTCAGAGATCTAGCCCCAGAAAAAAACACAGGATCCAGACCATTTCTTTTCTTTCTTTTTTAAAATAAAATCTTTTAGGAGACGAGATCTTCCTCTGTCACCCAGGCTGGAGTGCAATGGCATGATCATAGCTCACTGCAGCCTTGAACTCCTAGGGCTCAGGTAGTCCTCCCACCTCAGCCTCCGAAGTAGCTAGGAGTACAGGCCTGCACCACCATGCCCTGCTAATTGTTTTTTTAATTATGTTTTTTAGAGCTACGGCCTCGCTGTGTTGCCCAAGCTGGTCTCAAACTTCCGGCCTCAAGTAATCCTGAGTTGCTGGGATTACATATGCAAGCCACCATGTCTGGCTCTCAGAATAAGATAGTTTCATTAAGGAAACTATCTGTCTACTCTTTAATGATTTGAGTGATTCTGTCAAACCATTAAAGAGCAGATTGTCAATTCTATTTAATTTATTCCAGAGCATATAAAAAGACGGAAAGCTTCCACATTCTTGCTTTATATTGATGCCAAAATCAAAATTATTATGTCTCTAAAGAATACTATCTCTTAACAGTTGGATTTATTTCAGGAATACAAGATTGACTTAATATTAGGAAATCTAATATTATAAATCATCATATAAATAGTCCTAAGGAGAAAAAAATCTTTAAAATTTTCGTGTATCAAAAAAAGTCATAAAGTCAAAGGACAAATGATAAATTGGAACAAATATTAGAATCCTTATTCTTTTAGACTATGAGAAGATTAAATACCTATGAAATAGAATTTCCGAAATGCAAGGATATCTTAAAGTTATCTTGCTGGGCATGATGGCTGACGCCTATAATCCCAGCACTTTGGGAGGCCGAGGCGGGTGGATCACCTGAGGTCAGGAGGTTGAGACCAGCCTGGCCAACATAGTGAAACCTTGTCTCTGCTAAATATACAAAAATCAACTGGGTGTGGTGGCACGTGCCTATAATCCCAGCTGCTCAGGAGGCTGAGGCAGGAGAATCTCTTCAGCCCAGGAGGCAGAGGTTGTAGTGAACTGAGATCACGTCACTGTACTCCAGCCTGGGTGACAGAGCAAGACTGTCTCAAAAAAACACACAAAAAAATTTATAAGTCATATGGCTGTCTCCATGGATGCAGAAAATCCATTTGACAAAATTGAACACCAATTCATAATTTAAAGTAATAAAATACTAATTAATAGATAACTTCTATAACACAATCAGCTATATCTAACTCAGTTACATCATACTTAGTGGGGAAGCACAAGTGTGTATCCTGACTGAAATTAGAAACAAGACAGTGTTGTCCACAGTAACCACCACTAAATAGCATTGCTTTGGAGGTACAAGCCAAAATATATTTTTTAATTTTTTAATTTTTATTGTATTTTTTATTTTTTTTGAGACGGAGTCTCAGTCACCCAGGCTGGAGCATGCAGTGGCATAGTCTCAGATCACTGCAACCTCCGCCTCCTGGGTTCAAGGGATTCTCCTGCCTCAGCCTCCTGAGTAGTTGGGATTACAGTCACCTGCCACCACTCCCGGCTGATTTTTTATTTTTAGTAGAGGCAGTGTTTCACCATGTTGGTCAGGCTGGTCTCGAACTCCTGACCTCAGGTGATCCACCCGCCTCGGCCTCCCAAAATGCTGGGATTACAGACGTTAGCCACCATGCCTGACCTAGCCAAAACATTTATACAAATAAAAAGAATCTGGAGATAAAGTAATTGGAAAGGAGGTGATAAAACCATCCTTTTTCACAGATGATATGATGTTTATATATATGTGGAACACCGAAAATAATTAATGGAAACATTTACTATAAACAATAGGAAAATTGAGCCCCTCAATAGGAAAATAATGGTAAACTTAATCCATAGAAATCAATATTTTCCATATGTACATAACAGCCAGTTAGAACATAGAATGGAAGAAGAGGACTCCATTTACAATAGCAACAAAGATAAAATGTCCAGAATAAACCTATTCAGAAATGTGCAAAACTGACAGACAAAAACTTTAAAATACTCATGAAGGATGCAAAAGTAGACTTGAACAAGTGGGAGGACACAATTACTTTTTGAGGCAAAGACTCAATGTTATAAACATGTCAATTTTCTCTAGATTAATGTATAATTTAAACACAATCCAACTAAAAATATATACATTATTTTTCTGGCACTAGCCAAGTGAAATTTTTAAAGTGCACGTGAAAAAGGACACGAGTAGGCCAGGCATGGTGGCTCACGCCTGTAATCCCAGCACTTTGGGAAGCCAAGGTGGGCGGATGATCTGATGTCAGGAGTTCAAGACCAGTCTGGCCAACATGGCGAAACCCTGTCTCTACTAAAAATACAAAAATTAGCTGGGCATGGTAGCACATGCCTATAAT